TATGTAATGACAAAACACGTACAAAAAAATCAAAAGTTCAAGAAAGCATGAAATTACATTAATTCAGATGAACTGCTAGTAATTATGCAAGGTGATAAATTGGACTTTCTCTAATTGTCTGTAGCAATTGCATATATTAAAATGCCCCAGTTTTCTTGTTTGCTATTCAGTAATACAGAGATGTCATGTGCTTGTTCTTAAAGTGGACTTGTTTGGAAGTGCTATGTCTATCCCTGAGCAGTTTAAGGAATTGTGAACACATGGGAAAATGAAATGAATAAGTTGCTACTTGTGATCAAGTTTCTGTTCCTATCAGACGTATTTAAGTAGCAGTTCCCTAATCCCAGGAAAACTGGCTGCATCTCCACACATTCTGCTGTGCAAATTAACCCTACCACTCTAACAATTTTAAGGCAGTTTTATATTAAAAAACCCACACCAAACAGATGTGTGGGTAATAGTGGTGGTGGTGGGGAAATTAGAATATATATAGTAATGATAAAATCAGTAATTATGTCAGTACTAAGATTTAAAACACAAAAGAAAAAATACTGTCTGACTGAACCTATTAATTAACACAAGTGCTTAAGCAGGAAATATTTGTGTGTATCAGTCACATTATTTCTATCGTCATAGATGATCATTTCAAGCAAACACCTCACCCACCATTATGGGCTTGCTTGCCTTCTCAGTGGCAGCTCTGTACTCAAAGCTGTGCTGATGGACATCCTCATCCCAAACCACTCTTCACACCTTCTCTTTTCATTATAATTTAATTTCTACACTGAAGACTTGCAGGCCACATCCTTTGCTGCCATAAATATGCATAATTTCCTCCACCCCAGTAGGTTGCTATTCACTTACACCGGCTGAAGAGAGCTCTGGCCCATTCCTTCTCCCCACTCCTCCCTTCATACCTGGTAAGGAGCTGAAAGGCTCCTTCAGCTCACATGTTCACACTTGCATCACAGAAAGCCCTGTCATTCTCTAATTCAGTTTCCATATGCCATATGTTTTGCTTGTTCTGAGCACACACCTTTCTTGCTTAGGTCTGCAAATGTTCCTGACTGAAGATGATGACTCTTTGCCACCCACAGCTGAGTCCATATATTTCCACTCTTTACTATGAAGAATCACTTGTTCACCCGAGCATTTTGCTCAGCCTACATGACCTCATTATCACATCCAACTGATTAATTGCTCTATACCAATAGTAATCTGCCAACATGTACAGCACTGGAAAAGAGGGAGTTTTTTTGTTAAAACTCACAGCTGAAAGAGCAATGCAGTGTGAGGGAGCTCATTGTTCATAAAGTGAGATAAATACAGACAAAGAATGGAAGGAATTATGTAGGAACTAGGTGATAATTTATTTATAGATCTCTGCAGAAACACTGAAGTTAGCAGATATACCATCTGTTAAATAGGCGTACTATTCCTAAGTGTATATTAGCAATCTAAATGTGTGCCAAACACCTGATCTTAGCGATCTTATTTGATACTCTTTTTGACAAGCAACATTATGGTTTATTAGATTATGTCGTGTTCTCTTATAAAGCTATGCTAGGTAATAGTAACTGGGAAAACAGAGTGATTATGCTCAATTGGTGTAAACCGCTGCTCAGGGCAAAGAGAAGTGGTTTCGAGAAACAGATTTTCAGAATAACAAGAGAAAAGTAGAATATCTGCATTTATATTCATCTTTAGTTCATTTTTTAATATATATATTTAACACATTTTTAGATTACAATTAGTCATTGAAAATATATGAACCCCCACAGGGGGAAAAATTTGATCCAAAAGTCTTTTGAGCAAAAAGACTGCTTCCAGCAAAAAGAAACTTTATTTCTGATGGTCGACCTCTTTCCTCTCTTTATTACCCTGGGCTACATAGCAAGGGTAGACAATTTTATAACTAATTATTTAATCCCATCTGAATGAGGTGTCATAATATTTCATAGGAGATGCTGCCTGCCTGGAGAAAGGGTCCAGTAAAGATGATGACAAAAGTAAGACTGACTACCCTAATAAGTTATTTTTACTCATTTTGCTTTGTTTTGCTCTTTCAGAGATTTTTTTCCCATATGCGATGATTATTTATTACAGAGAGACACACTGCATACATTCATTTTGTACAATTATTTATCAAAATCAACTTCAGATAGAGAAAAAAAAGATCATTCCTGTTTAGACCTACTAAATTATCGGTGGTGGGGGTTTCTAAAAGATGCAATGTGATGAAGATAGAGTCAAGCACTGGAATGGACTGTCTAAAGAAAACATCTATCCCTAGAGGTCTTGAAAAATGGTTTAAATAAGTACCTGTTAGAAAGGACATAATATACTTGTACCTGTCATGGACCAAACCAATAGATTAAATGACCATTTTTGTGCCTCCATATCCACCTTTTTGTGCCTGCAATGCACTAGTAGGCATAATGGAATTAAAATCTCTCCAGCATCAGGAAAAGCCGAGCTGCTTTGTATAACCCAACTATAAACATGCTATAAAAGAGGTAGGAATCTTGCATACAGATTTTGATACTCAATTTAAGGTTGAAAAGTCTAGATTAAAAAGGCAAAACCAGCTTTTTCCTCACAAATAAGCAAACGCAGTCTTACTAATTATAAAATAGTGGATCCCACAAGAGGTCTAGTACTACTGCTTTTTTTTTTAATTTAAATCAGGGATTCTTGTCATGTTTTTAATGGAGAAACACAGACAGGTGTTACACTTTCTAAAATTAGAGTAAAAATTATACCATGACGTATTGTGTCGTTAAACTAAGAATTGCTACCAGCAACTTATTACTTTCCAAAATCTATTCCAATTTCAGAGTAAAGTATTACACAGTTAATTCTGAATTGTCATAGAAGCCTTTTGCTACTACTGCACTGTGCTGCTTTTCCCCTCCTTCTTTCTCAGGTGTCTCATAACAAGTGAAATTTTGTTCTCAGCAAAAAAGTAGACTTGATTTACCATAGCAGAAAGCATTGGAAATCACTAGTTATACTACATATATTTTCCATAGAGCCCAAGAGTTGGTTTTTTTGTGTTTCTTTTTTTTAAACTCCATTTTTTATGTAGAAACTGCACAACCTGCATTGTATTGGCAGTTCAAGGAAAGTGATAGGAAAGGGAAATGTGATCATTTTTGTCACTAGTGCACGAATCTGAAAAGATCTGAATGTTTTCCACCTCTCCAATATTTTTTTCTATTCAACATAATAAATACGAAAATTTGAGGGTATTTTTTTTACACACAAGGGCGGTCCCTTCTCCCAGAGGACAAAGCCTCAGGGCAGCCAATCCAAGCAAATCCCCATGTGGTGCCTCAGCAATTCTTCCAGGGGCCAGTTTTGTGCCAGCCTTTTCCTTTTCAGAAAGTGTTCAACCTACAGGAAAGAAAAGAAAAAGGAGAAAGCTGATACATTTTCTCAAACTGAATTCTCAATCCGCACATTCAGAGACTGGACCAGTAACTACCTTCTAATATGAATCCAAACTCCAGTTAGACATATTACATCCTTCCACTGTTTTCTTTTCCAATCAGTATTACAAAATGGAATAAAACCAAATATTTTTTTTTGCCTTTCTTGCTTTTTTTGTCCCACCCGTCTACCCAGACTGCAAGGCAGACATCTAGCCAGCAGGCAATTAAAAGAACAGAGTTTAAAACACTTTCCCAGTGTATTGACAGGTACCATCCATTGTGGCTATGATAACATGAGGAGGTGCTACAGCTGTCTAATTCAATTCAGTCACCTTTGAGTAGACGATGTCTTCATAAGAGAGCAATATACTGGAGATGAAGAAGAGGAAAAGAAAAGTTAACTGTGCAAAGTTCAACTAAGGTGGAGAAAATTGATATATTGACATATATAGCTGAGTATATACAGGTAGTACTCATTATTGCTTTCACCAACAAGAACTGATTCTCTCAGTAGTTGTTCAGCTGATGAAAAATGGAACCATTATTTGAAACAAGAATCTCTAGCAATGTAAATAAAATAACCTTATGGCAAGCAGTATATGACACTATGATATAAAGAGTTTTATAGGGGAGCTGGTATTATTTATTATATTAAAAAATATTTTGAATTTCTTTCAAGCAATCATTTCCCAAAGTACTCCGACAAAAGTAGTGAGTCTTCACATTAGGATGAGGACTGGATCAAAAAGTAAATAAGATTTTTTTAGAGTACATCTACTGTGTTATGGGTTTGTAATGGAATTATTTAAAGGGAATGAGACTGATAATACTTCCACATTTCAGTGAAATGTAAGAAAGCAGAGCAGATTGAATGTGGTGTTAGATTCAGTTAAAAAAATTAATAGCCATAAAAATCATCTATAGGATCATGGACATGCTTTTACAGACTTCTCTAAACCATCACATGATTTCCTACTGAAAGCATCCTCTGTCTCCCCTTTAAAAACCAGTGCTAAAGTTTGCTCAAGTAAATTAAAATATATCCACTTACTGCAGCCATCTTCAGGACAGAACAGACTCATTAAGAATGCAACATACTTTTATCATAATTTAGATACACACACACTGTGGGAGGCCTGATGATGTTTAATTATCACTTGTATATATAGAAGACCACATCTGCTTTTTATTGCTATAAAAAGAAGAAACAATGCAAGATGGTAGGGTTTTTTTTCCTTAGTCATGTAAATTAAGAGTCTAATATGTTCCAAAAAATTATGCTAGGAAAAATAATGGAGTAAGACACAAGCTTTGAAATTAGGAATTGTAAGTACAAACTCATAGTTGGAGTAAAACTGCTTTATGAACAGGTATCTCATGATTGTCAAAGGACTAGACACCAGGTTGGGTGAGTTATTTTTCCATACAGTGTGGCAATTCACATACTGAGATTATACTATGCTATTGAATACGTTTAAGTTACATAAGCATTGCATAGCTTGGGGTACAGCTAGGAATAAGTCTGGTAGATAATAACTGGGTCTTGTTTTCTCCTTCTCTCTCAAGATCTTGAAAACTTTGAAACAAAAACAAGAAGCACAGTGTCAGTCAGAGAAGGACAAGGAGTGGTCCTGCTCTGTGGTCCCCCACCGCATTATGGAGGTACGATGCTTTACGTTGCATGCAGCCTGAAGATTGATTGCTATAGGTCAGCAGAAGTAGCCTATGCAGTTCCCTGCCTGATTAGCATTGGAATTTATTTGTGTGTGAAACATATAGGTTTGCAGCAAATTTGGATTTCATTTCTTTAAAGGACACAGAAGTTTGTAATTCTTAAGAGGCCCTTTTTTATTATTCTATGGTTACTGAGGGACTAGAACACATACCTGCTCATTGGGTGTGACACCAGCAAGGAAAGCATAAAGGTCTAAAAGACTTTCTCCTGACATGACTGGTTATCTCAGCTCCCTCACTCATATGGACAGGCAGAACAACAACTACAACAATTCTTTCTATATTAAAATTACTTCAGATCTGAGTGGAATGACTATTTTTCCACTTAGTCCCTGCTACTTCAGTGCTATAATTTGAATCCTTTCTCCTGTCATGACTGGTTATCTCAGCTCCCTCACCCATATGGACAGGCAGAACAACAACAACAATTCTTTCTATATTAAAATGACTTCAGATCTGAGTGGAATGACTATTTTTCCACTTAGTCCCTGCTACTTCAGTGCTATAATTTGAATCCTGCATTTTATACATTAAATTTGTTATGAAAATTTGTCTTCTGTTGTTGAATGTCTGATTGACTCCTTTGTGATAATCATTAAAAAAATTTAGATTGGAAGGGAATTCTGGAGACAAACTCCCTGATCAAAGGCAGTGTGATTAAATCAGGTTGCTTGATAATTTTCGATGCTCCAGGTAAAGAACAAAAAGGATTTTTCTAGGGAATTGATTTGGGGATGCCTTGTACCTGCTACCTAATACTGCTGCTTCTTAATCATAAGGCTATTTTTGAGTTCTTCCTTTCTGGATAAGGTAAAATCCAAGGGAAAAGCAATGAACCAGAAAAGCCTGAAACAATGCTAAATGCATTACACCCAAGACACCCCTAAACCATTTTCGTTCCCTCCCCAAACCATTTTCGTTCCCTCCCCAAACCCTTCCCCTGCTTAGTAAGAAGCTTCTAAGCAGTCTTTTGAGATTTATTTTTTCCTCCCCGACATTGACTCTTGCAAGTTTTGAGCCACAGACATTCCCATATTTCATTCAGAGGTGTTAGAACCAAAATCAAAACTGCTTCAGACTGGAAATCTGGAGTAAGAATTATTGTTTCCTCATATAACTATCTGAAGATGATTAGAAATTTTACCCTGGAAAAGCAAATGTGTGTTAAAAAAGGGAAATATCAATAGCATCCAAATTATCTTGTTCTGGACCAAAAGGATCAGTAGTTTTTTGATTACTCATGTCCTGCTTTCAGGAGTGACCACACATCCACAGGAGCCACAGTTATCCTTGTGCTGGTGTCAACATCCTGCTCTTGGCAACGTTTCCTCAATACTTTTTAAAGAAACAGAGTTATAAGATGAATTTGCATGAGAAAGTGAATAGTGATCTATAAAGAGGATGCAGCGTATTAGAGATGTAGAGAAACCCATCAATCAATTTAAAGCCCACAAGTCTTGAACAGAGAGGAAATGTCAGTTCATTTAGTGTTTACAGCCATATGAAAGAAGTAATAGAGGAGATGATGTGAAACCTGGTACTTAAGGGCAAAAAAGGCTTGAAAGAGTTCCTGAAATGTATCAATGGGACAGACAGAAAGACAACAGATCCATCCTTGAGTCAGTGAGTTATATATTTTCCTCTTGCTGTAGGGTAAAATTATGATTTGAAAAATAGGAATGAGTAGAAGAAAACATTCAGAACAAATAAACAGTTAACAAGTGAATTCACCCCAGATTAATTGAACTGACAAAATGGTATCCATGAATAAAGCCTTTACTACAGTATTTCTTAAGCTGGGAATGTGAGCTGTTGACCAAAAAGCCTGAAAAATAGATTATCTGAAATAAGAAGTCTCTAGAGAACAGAAACTGAGTTCTTTTGTCATCCGTAAACACTGTATTTGTGATCCAAAATTGTATGCCATGGGGATGAACTGCATGGTGTGAACTATGATAAGTTGTATACCATCTCAGGATGGTTAGGAAGTTGTTTATATTGAAAGGGATTGTATATTTAGTTGTTGGTTTGTTGGTTTTTTTTTTTTAATTTAAAACCCTAGCTCTGACTTGCAATACCTACAGGAGAAAGGATTACTTGCACACAGCTTCCATTACAAGTGTTCTGTACAGTACTCTAGATGTGGCAGGAATTAGTTAGATATCAAGGAATCTGGAAGATACAACATACAAGTAGGAAGAAGTATTAGAATACTTTCTTAGAATATTAACATGAGTAAGACAATACAAGCTGTATAAGGTGTCCTATACACTAGAAAACAAAATTAGAATTTCCTGTCCAACTGAGTGATACAGCCTATGACACATGCAGACTTCTTGCTAGTATGAGCATTTATAGGGGAAACTGAGGCTAACTGTTTGGGTAGAAAACACTGACAGTGCTCTTGAAAATTGGTTATCAGTGTCACTGAGAAGACACCCAAGGGAGCCAGAGCAGATACCTATAACCCTTCAGGCACATCTACAGAACATCTGCTGCTTTCCCCAGGGTGAGTCCAGACCTGGCCCTATCCATACCCTGCATCAAGGGAAGAGGAACAGTTCTCATGGTTCCCTTCTTCCTCTTCTTTGACTTAAAGGAAGACAGAAAAACCTCTGTACAGCAGTTATTTCAAGCAGCCATAATTAGTAAAGTTATTTTAGACTAGAATGAGTTAGCTATACCTCCTGCTTGCTTGGTAACCCAGAAAATCTATACCTGGTACTTTTAGCTGTGGAATAAGAGACAGAAGGGCAAAGAGCTCTCATTAGATTGAGGTTTCTTCCCATATAACACTGAGAAGTAGGAACAGACAGAATAAAAACTCAAAAAAATGTTTCTACCATTTATGATATCTAGAGAAGCATTTTGCTAAAGAATAATAATAATAATAATGAATAATAAGATAAAGAATATATGAACAAGCTAAATGATAAAAAAAATAATAAAAAGTTCAAAAGGGTTGCCCCAACAACTTATGCATCACCTTAAACTAACTCCTAAAGAACAAAAGCCTTGCAGAATTGCTGTTAAAGCTATACCAAAACCTTTAACACAAGAAGAGAACCTGCTTTGTATTGCTATAGATAAGCATCAGCATTCTTCACAAAAATCAAACACAAGGAAAAGCTCCCCATCCTTTTAAAGGTACAATTTATATCTTTGACCAACCAAAACACTAAAAAATTGCTAGTTAATAACCAAAAAACCCCAGAGCTTATAACTCTCTTTTGAAAGACAAAAACAAAACCACCTCTTCAGCCAACCCCTCTGCCTATCTATACCCCTGCCCCTCCAGCCTCAGCTATTGTTATTTATGAGGCTCATTACTACATCTTATAAAGTTCAATTCCATCTGCTTGTTAGTGAGGTTCTGGAGAGCAAGCCTGGCAAGGTGAGATGTTTTTCTTTCTTTAGAACGTACTTCTTCTATGGTTTAAGTTCTTTAGGTCAGCTAGTTTTTCTGTATGTAATCAGCATATAGTGTCACTTTATTATTTAAAAAATAGCATTTTATATAGAGTAAGGAAGCAGTAGGAAGAAGGAAGAAAGTTTGAACCAGCTTTTGTTTTTGTAGCTATACATGAGCTTGACCTGACTCTGATTAAGAAGCTGCTGGTAATGGTAATACTTGACACAAGACTGTTGGGTAGACTGTTACTCATTTATTTTCCTAGAAGGGAAGTCTGATACAAGGCCTGTTTTCTTCAAGCTGGCTCCCTGTAGAGCTTTAAGGAAGTTGCTAATCTAGTTAAGAGCAGCAGAATCACTTGTGCATTTGCATTTATTTGTGCATAAGAGATGCCAATATTTGAAGCTGGGATGCTGAGTCTGTACGCTTTTCTCTGTACTGGCTTTACAATGCCAAGACTATGCAAAAAAACCCCCAAAAACAAGCCCACAAAAAACCATGTCAACAAAAACTCCAAGTAAATAACAGAAAAAACCCAAGCAAAATTATTTAAGGGAGTAGAATCCCTGTGGACCTGCTTAGTGGGGAAAAATGCCAAACTCTCAGCTAGCTGAAGGGTGGGGAAGGAGATGGATGTGAAAAGCAGGGGATAAGATGCTGGGTATGTGGAGAGATTGGGATGGGAGGAGTGGTGCTGTGTTACATAAAAGGGTCTTCAACTTCTATCTCAGTTTTTTTCTGCATCTTGTACTAAACAGTCACTTGGTAAAATGCATAATCTTAAAATTATGGCTTGAAATGTATCTCGCTTTATAAAGCTGAGTGCCTTTGTCATGGGTTTAGAGTCCTTTTCTCTCTGCTCCTATTTCTTAATGCTCCTATGAATCTTTAATCCTTTCCTGCCAGCTCCAGTGGGAGGGAGTGAGTCTCTTCCCCAGACCAGCCTGTAGCTGATCTTCTGCAGAACGAGCAATATTGATTTGAATTTGCTCAGGCTGAGGAAAGCACTGAAATGTTATATTCTGTAGACTAGTATATCAGGAGTGATTATCAGCTGCTCTTCTTCTTTCCCAGCTGTGCTCTGAAAGAAAATGCTCCCAGCTGACAGGTGTAGGCGATGCTCTCCTGCCTGGCCAAGCTCGGGACTTGCCCACCAGGCAGGGCTTGGCTGGAAGGTGAGGTAGAGTTAACCTACTTTTGGGGGCCACTGGCATGAGAAGGGAGACACCGAATAGTCACCTGCCTTGGACTGAAAAATAACAAACCAACCCAAACACACCCTAGGATTGCAGTATTAATAAAATAGCTCAAGATCTGGCATGTGCATAATGAAGTCTATGTTGCTGTAATTATTCCTCTGCTGGCATGAAGCCCCTTTGAAGTAAAGGCAGATCTGTGCTCTCCAAGGCATCTTCTCACAGAGTCAATAACAGCATTAAGATCTTGCTTTCTTTGGAGAACAAATATGATTTTTTCCAGTGTTCAGTGCTCAAATATGTTAATTTGGTCTGAGACCAGTCAGCTCTACAAGTGAAAAGAAGCTGTACTGTGGCATTTATTATGTCATAGCTAGACAGATTTTTAAAAAAGAAATAAATTACCTGAAGGTGATGAATATTTCTGAAGCTTGTCTTGGAAAACACCTTCACACATAGGAGTTAAATTAAAAATAGAAGGTAGAAATTACATGAATAATATTTTACTATTAGTTTCTGTGAACTAAATCCTGAAACTTTCATAGTGCTCTGAAATTTATATTGTCATTATTTGTAGCTCCAGATGTCAAAGAGGTTCTCTTTGGGTTTCAAACTCTGTGAGGTTAGCAGAATTTCTTTGTAACCTTGGAGTATATCATAGTTTATCTGTCTTTGCAACAAGCTCAACTTCCTTTAAAAGTTAATGGGGGGAAAAAGCTCATGACGATCTGGGACCAAATTCTGCTTGTTTGGTCCATATCTAAAGCACCACTGAGTAAAGACTCACCTGAAATTGCTCCAGCTTGCTTCTCACCACATGCAGCACCTTGTGATCAGTGAACATTTCTCTTTAAGGACTCCCTGACCCACAACATAGTTTTGCCTCATGATTTATTTTTCTAAAACATCACACATTAACTATAGTGAAAAGAGCAAACTTGGGCTAATTTGTCTGGTGTAGAAGAACCACTATTCCCTTACTTCAGGCATGTTGATTCATCTTGTGAAAAGTGGTTATTCCAGAGGGAAAGTTACAGCTAAACAGGTCTATGCACACAAAAAAAGATGAAATTAATAAGAAAAAAAGAAAACCACAAAAATATGTGGTACTGATAATGGCTAAGACTTGTGTAGGACTTTTTATGCTGAAGTCCTTTCATAGCGGTCTCTCAATATTTCTGAGACTGGCACGGTATGTTGAAGTGTGATCCCAACTGCTATTTCAGAAATCCTGTGGTTAAAAGGAAAACAGAAAGCATAAACTGAAAAATAATTGGAACTTTATTTGTTCTCTCCTAAAATAGCTGGCAGCAGCAATTTTCAAGTTCATTTTAGCTAGACTTCATTAGCAGGTTACTATCTCTTTATAATTTCCCTTCTATGCCTCCACTACCTTCTGTTCAGCATTACCCTTCACCAGACTCTTCCCAGCTGGTGATTTACTCATGCAAAGGAAAGTAACCTTAAAAGCGATGGCATGGGCCTTTTACAACTTTCTGTTGCTCATTTAATGGGTCTGCTCCACTTCTGATTTATTCAAAGTGACCCAAAATGGAAATGTCTAAGTAATAATAGCTTCTTTTATAATGCAACATTAGATTTTTCTAGCCTGTTACATCTGTTGATGTTGTCACTTAACTTTCTAAGAAAAGATACTGTGTAAGGGAGTAGACTGCTGATACCATGCCTTAGAAAAGAAAAAAGTTTTTATTTCCAAAGTTTGGTTCCTTTCTCTTGAGATTTCATCCAACTCCCATTGAAGTCAATTAAAATGAGTGCTTCTACAGACCCTAGTGGAGCTGAATTAGGCTCTAGGCAAGTATGGCCTGCGGATTGGTGATGATGAACCTGCACTTAGAAGAGTGGTAGTGTTTGTATCTCTCATACTAGGGGAGGGAAATGATTTAAATATGAAAAAGAGGGGCCTGCAATTGTTCCCAGTGAATGCAAAAATTCATCAATAGGCCCTAAGGTGATGGTGGAGTACAGACAGGGAGGGAGTAACAGAAACTTTGGAAGATAAAGTCAACTGGAACCCCTCGAGAACTGAAATCAGGACAGACTAGTACTGGGTCTCTTTTACTGATTAATTAATCCACAGATTCACCTCTGGAAAACCTATCAGGTCATGGCTACATTGCATACTCAGCTAGAGGCTGATCACTGAGAGAAAAACCCCACCTGTGGCCAGATATTTTTTTTTAATAGATGCTTTAACCAGGTTCCTGAAAGTACATGGGCATGTAAATGTGAAAACACTGCACTTTTATGTTGTGTGTATGCACATGTATGTGTACACAGATGTGTTGTATTGCACTATTTTAGGAATTGTTGCATCTTCTAGGTTTACTGATTATCAGAAAAAAAGCTTAGCATTAAGCTGCAGTAAAGCAGAGCCTATTGCAGGATTTAGCCAACTATAGAAAGTGTCACTGATTGCTCCCTGGAGATGCATCACTTCTAATGAAGTCCTAAAATGTTAGAAAATGATAACATAAAACTCCACAAAACTACTGGAGTTTGCAAGCTTATTACCGTACTGTATCTTTGTTGTAACTGAGGGGGGGGGGAAAGCATAAATAATCTTTTCAAATGGGATTGTTGATGGAAGAAATGTGTAAAAAAAATGAAGCTGTTGGCAGAACACTGTTAGCTTATGAGTTACACATTTAATTAAGGAAAGATAAACCGGTAGATTTTGAAACTTCTGATTTACTGTGTCTTATTAAAGACAGAATTTCAATCCTGCTCCCACTGTTGGGTGCTGGCAGTGGCCTGGGGCTGGCAGGACACCTCGGGTGTCCCTCCCACAGCACACGGTAAGCCCTGAACCTGCTGGCTGCGTACTGGTGGCAGTGTAACAAGGCTTGGCCAAAAAGCCCTTCCCAAAAGCAAGGTCCTTGGATGGTAAGCTTGCATGGAGATCTGCCCTTCAAGGGGTGGGGGGGGCATATTTAGTAAAATAAATTAGTTTTAAGTTGCCTAGACTATAGATATATATTATTAAGGTATGTGTTGGGAAAAAGTGTATGAAAAAAGATAGCAGGATAGGGTTAAGAAGTCAGAATAGGACAAGAAGCAGATGTAAGTGTGGAACATAAGGAAAAATAAAGATCAAATATTCAATAATCTCCAAAACTTTGTGCAGACTACCTTCCCCCCTTCATGAGAATCTGATGATAAATCTCCGTATTACTGGTTTCTTTTTCCAGAGTGAAGAAAGGAGCTGTAACACTGACCGGCAATTTGCTCTCTGAATGCTCAGAGGGAAAGTGTTATAAATAGAAATTATTTACTAAAACAGCTTTCTCATGGCATTACAGCATTGCCATTCCTACTTAAAAATAAGCTAAGCAGGAAAATGGAAAGTAGCAGGGGACAAAAACTTCCGTGACCTCCTGAAGTGGCTTGAAATGAGTTTAAAACTAAAACAATGCTTACCTTGCCTTTGCTAATTTGTGCATCCCCAGTGGTTAGCCCTTTAACTGACTCATTCTTTCAACCGGCAATATTGCACTTGAGCACTAACAGGAAGCAGATTCTACTGAAAAGGATGCATGATTTGTATTTGGTGTTTTTTAGGCTTGTCCTATAAGTGGATCTTCAACAATAACACCTTGTATGTTCAGGAAGATAGTCGCCGATTTGTTTCACAAGAAACGGGAAATCTGTACATTGCCAAAGTAGAGCCATCGGATGTGGGCAATTACACCTGCGTCGTAACCAACTCTAAAGCAGAGCAAAGTGTGCAGGGGCCGCCCACTCCCCTCACTCTGCGCAGCGATGGTGAGTTACCTGGGCATGCAGCCCAATGCTAACTGGTCCCTCTCTAACCATTGGAAATTCTTACCACTGTACGTCCTTATGGAGATAAAAGGCTCCCAGTAAAAAGCTGTGCAGAAGGACGTGACCCTGCAGTTTCTGCTGGTTTGAAATGAGATTTGAACTGGTAGGACAGGAGTGATGAGATAAACATATGCAAAGAAAGCAGCAATCAATATAATTGAAAAATAGCAGAAGAAAGTCAAAAGGTACGTTAATGGTTTTCATCTTGGGGATGCCTGTGTTGAGGTTTAAATCTGGCAAAGCTTTCTTCTAAATTTATAGTCTTGGTATAGCTCAAATATCAAATCCAGAAAGCTGTTCCAAAGTGAGTCACTGAGGTGAGAAATTCACTCACACATATACAAATACCTTTCTGGCGACACTTCTAATTAAATGTTCACAGTGAGAAATCTATACCTGGGAAATCTTTACAAAAAGTTTGTTTTGTAAGTTTACTCACCTATTTTTCAAGGTACTTGTACTGTTTGCAAAGCAGTGGCAGTAATCTGTAAGAAAAGTCTGTATAGAGTTATGTTTCTAGGATAAATAAAACCCAACTGTGCACTGTAAAATAATGCTTCCACTGTGAGACTGTGCTGTTTTATAACACATTCCATCAGATCACCCAAAACAAAGCTATAGTTCCATAACTCTAAGTTAATAATTTGGTAGAAACTGTGAGTGTAATGCTTAAGATCTTTTCTGACTATTTTCTTCCTTTTCATCACCCTACTTGATTCCTTTTCAGCCTTATTTTATCAGTCTCTTTTTATCTTCTGACATTATCTTCGGTAGCCTCTGGATTATGTCCTAAACAGGCAGCCTCTAAGGCAAGAGTGCACATTGTGTTTGTAATGTTAGCCAGATCCCTGTTAAATATAAAATAAGAATCAGTTCATTTTCAGTGCGGGATCTGCTCTAAACTGATAACGGATTATCTATGGCTTATCAGATGTTCAGCCAAACTTTCATATGTGATCATTACATCTAATTACATCAGCCTTTCTCAAGCCTGAAGCTCATGTTTGGATGTTTTAAAATAGTTTTAAGTGTTTTACAAGTATTTCGGACACAGAGAATTCCATAATTTTCTCTTGTACCCAGAATCTATCCAGTGTCCTGATAAGTGGTCACTCAGTAAAGTGACCAATGTTAAAGACATTGCTTGTTAGCGCCTCTTAAATTACCTTAATGAATGAGTGTAACAGACTTGTACATGTAGATCTTGTATAGAGTTGTGCTCTTTGAATCCCAAATGCACAGAACTTGCAGATTTGATGGAAGCTTTCAGCATAGGGTTGAATTTCACCCAGCAGGCTACGATGACATAGACATCACGTGTTGATTGTCATGGGTGGAACATAAGGCTCTGACGTGATTAATGCCATCCTTTCTTTTACACTGAAATTCTGTTGTACTAGACAGGTCTGAGGCTCAACTGGAGTGCTAGCTGTTTTGATGTTCAACAGGTGTGATGGGGGAGTATGAACCAAAGATTGAAGTACGTTTTCCAGAAACAACATATGCAGCGAAGGGCTCATCTGTTAAACTGGAATGCTTTGCCCTTGGAAAGTAAGATTTTTGTCTTTTACTAAAAATGTGGGTTCTAACACTGTTTTATAGTGAGAAACAATGGTTCTTTCTAGTTAGTACAGTAGATTATTTTTTTTTGTCAGAATGGGAATTTGTAAAACGTACTTTTTTTTTTTGAAACAATGGTTCTTTCTAGTTAGCAGTAGATTTTTATTTTTTTTGTCAGAATGGGAATTTGTAAAACGTACTTTTTTTTTTTAACCTTATCTTGGTTTGATTGTTTCTGAAGAATATGTTCCCAAGGAAAGGAGAAAGAAAACTATATTATAGCTGAAGCTTGCTTGGTTGCAGCTTGAAATGGGGGAGGAGGAAAACCAGAACAAAGGCTGTATTTCTTGAGAGTAGTTTTAACTTTGGGATGAGACCTGACTTCAGGTACAGCACTAAGTGTAACTGCCCATTCACATCCGATCTGCAGCAAAACAGGAATATTTTTCTGCGTGGCATTGTTGGTATGAATGAAACTTGGGGAAAATGACTGTGTTTTAAGAGCACACAGACAGTCTAGGATGGATCTAACAGATTCCCATGCCTCTTGGCACCCTCTCCTCCAAAGCAATGCTCAGGACCCCTGGGGAAGCCCTTGCAGTAGCCCTTCCTGCTAAAAATCTAGAAATCCATTAGGCTTGCAGTAGTAACCTATATTTTTCCAAGGTTGCTTACCTTGTTGTATTTGTTTTCAGAAGCTGTAGTGTGTTCAGACAGCAAGGGGTACTCTGTGTTCAAAGAGCAGATGGTTAACCGAATAAATGTAACCAGCCTACGAAAACTAGTCTTTCCAATGAGCATCTGTTTTCCCTGGAAAAGCTAAAATAACCTTAGATTGTTGACCTCTATTTAGTTTAAGTTCGCTTTGACAATCTGTTTTAAGGCTGTAAGCTTTTAAAGTGTTTAGAGCTTTCCCAGAGGTTAAAAGCCTGACTCGCGGACAGCTCAAATTAATCAAATGTTCCTCTGGAACCTATGCTGAGAAGTAGAAAAATAAAGCAAATAAAAAGTTAATAAGATGGAAAATGGCCTTCCCTTTCAGATGAGATTTTTATATAAACTAATCTTGGGGCTAATTTTTATTTAAGGACGAAGAATATTTCTACAGAGTCATATTCAAAGGCATACGCATTTTTTTGGCCCAAAACAAGTACCAGACTGGAATACTCCTGCTAAAGCTGGTTTGTTGTTTTTTTTTCCAAATACTGTCAAGATACTTCTCTTTAAATACCTCCTTAATTGTGTGTGAGTCAGTGCAGGCTTTACATTTCAAGTTCTCATTTCATATTTCCATCTGTTGCATAGAAAGCATTTAACAATGATACATTGACTGCACAAAAGCATTTCAAAACCAGAATAAATGATATATTCAAAAGACCACCTTCTTACTGAAGGGGTAAATACAGGTCATGTTAATATGGCACGTAGGTTTTGCCATTTTAAGAACTTCTTAAGGACAAAAAAGAGGTGGACTGAAAGGGCATATAGATAATGAAATTCCTCAGCAGGCACAGTGCCTTCAGTGCCATGCTTGGCAGATGGAATAGCTGAAAGGGTTAACGCAGCTTCAATATATGTTTCCTCCTAAATATACAGAACTGCAGCTGAAATCAGTGCTGCTATACTTCCCTGGCGTTATGCTGCATAAATACCAGCGATCCATGGGTAGAAATCCACTCTTCACAAGTTTTTTTATATCATACTGCTAATGTGCATCTAGTCTAGTGTATGTGTTTGAGAGATGCTGCTTGTGAGTAAAGGTTCTTTCCTGGCATCGTTGGAGAATTTGTCCTCTCTAGATGATTTTTTTATAGGTTAGAGGTCTCATGCAGGACAGGACTGTTTTCAGTCTGCTTTTTTTCTTTTTTCTCTGAACAGAGCCTTGAACCACCTTTTCACCAACATGTCAATCAGTGAAAAAGCTTTATTTCAGAGCTTGGCATTTATATGTGAATAAAGCAAGAGAAACAGATTGCAGGTGAAATACTCTTAACATACTAGATAAGGCCAGGTTTCTAAAGGTATGTAGGTGATTAGTGGTATCGTTAAAAGCTGAAGTTTCCTACCTCCAGCTGTTTACAATTGTACTTATGCACATAGAAATGCAGCAGTGTGGCCATCTGCACCTTTAGATGCCTAAATTCCACTAAAACTCTAGCCCCTAGTCTTGTCTGTTTATGTTAAAATCAATTCAGCTCAACATTTGTTGAGCTATACTTCTGATCTGCCACAAGCACTAACGGTTATTATCTCTCTTGGGTTTCAGAACTACTTTCCCATTATCTGTAATTTTCTATATTCATATTGTTAGTCCACTGGTTCAGACAATGCTGTCAGCTTCTGCTGCGTCTGTGCTGTGAATAACAGAAACCTTTCACATCTAAGGCAGGTTATAGGCAACCTGCTGTGGTTTTGCTCTCCAGAAGTCTTAAATGAAAGTTCTTTCTTGGTATTTAGAGAAATAACATCCTTTTTCTATATGGAACAGCAAATCATACCCACTGGACCTTGCTCAAAAAGGATTTTCACATTTAAAATACAAGAGGACAGACTTATGACTGAATTTTAAGATGCCTTTTTACCTGAGGAACTCAAAGCCACCCAGATAAGAAGTTTTCTTTCAGCCAGGCTGTGGGACACCCTGAGGGTAGGCGCGTTCCACACACCTCTGCTGCAAGGCACTCTTTTTGCATTTTACATTAAAATATCATGGCAGACTCTCACACATGGTCTTCTAGCCCAGTCATAAAACCTTGCTTGTTTTGGGGAAAAGAAATATAAGAGGGCCAAAGAGTCAGTATTTATTCCTGGGAGGAGAGTTTGGAGGGATGGATCCCGAATGGACAAAAGCACTCAGGCCAGCTGTTGAGTGTGAGTCCTGTTTTGCAGAACAGAGATAATGAAGAGTAAGATGTTTCTGAAAATTAACTTAGTCCTTACTGTGGTGGAAATACAGTCAGACAAAAAGACATGTAAGTAGCGTGCAACTATCTGATGATTGGCGTGGGGAATCTAAACAGGCAAAAAATGTGCATTAGACTGAATTCTTTGAAAGAGGGAAAACTGAATCATGAAATAGTAGCTTGACTATTTCAAATACTGCAGCCTGTGGCAGTTTAATAGAAGAGATGAAACTTTGTGTTCTGCACTAATATTCATTATGTTGACAGTGTTTAATACTATGCCAGTATTAAAAGTAATGTTTTGGATCAAGCTATATTAATCATGCCATACATCTAGATTATTGTTCACTATGTCTTTGAGGGGACTGAGTATCATGAAAGAGTTATGTTCAGATGAGTTACTGTGTTTCTTTCTCTAGATATCTTCCAAAATAGCTTTTTTTCTGTTCCTCAAATAAGAATAGTTTCTGGAATGAAAAAAAGCAAAGTAGTTTCTGTATCTACTACGCACATTTATTAAACCATGTCTGTGTCTTACATTTTTCTTTATTCTCTTCTCTAAGATAGGGAAATTATCTGTTCAGAATCCCTGCAGAAGGGCCATTGCCAGCTGAGGTTGTAAAGAGCATATGTGAATAATATAAACCAGGATTTCTTTTAACCCAGAATATTAATTTTTCATGGGAAGACCCCACCTATTCCTATAAATGTATTCAGGGAAGGGTTTTTCTAGAGGCTCTTAGTATAAGTAGATAATCACATGGCTACAAGTGGGTTTCAAATAACCATCTTTACTAAACTTACATAAAAATACCAGGCTTCACTTCTTCATTAGATGGCTATTCTAGTATATTCATAAGGAGTTTATGTAGGAGGCTATAAAAGGATCAATTACAGGATTCTAAACTCGTATATGTATGAATCAGTTCTGCCACCACAGGAGAATTTTGCTATTTTCAAACCACATTCCTGATAGAGCTAATGCCTTACGATTTGTACTTTAAGGGATAAGCAGGCAGCTCTGGAAGATCCTTTCCTATGTTAGTTAAGGCTTGTGACCACAGGAGAATGTGACACAATACCAGCTTTCAGGAAACTTTGCTGCTTTGCTGTTTCCCAAGTAATACATCAGGATGATTAGAAGCCTGAGTGGTTTAATTATGATGCCCCTTGGATCCTTATTCTTCCTTGTGTCAGCAGTTGAAGAAGACACGATAGCAGCTTTCAGACCTCAGCTTTGTCTCATTTGTTTAACTAGGCATGGTCTTCATTATCAAAGCTGTAGTTTTAATTTTATTGTGAAGTGCCCTCGGATGCCTGGGACAAAAGCTGAGGAGCAGATGCAATGCATCGTTTGGCTGCTGAGTCTTTGCTGCAGAAAGGTGGAACCTTCATCTTGGTGGGGGCTGTAATGCTGCAGACAAAGCAGTGTGACAAGACTTGTCACCAACCAAAAAATATTTTCTGTCGCCTTTTCTTTCTGAGTTAGTAACTTATGGTTTTGCAATTCTGCCACCTGTATGGCAGAATATAAATTGAATTAGTACTCCTAGATGCTGTGAAGGATTTCAAATAAACTGCAGATTTATGTACAAAGACACTCTCATATTTATGCAGGCTTTTTATTTACTCTGATGAAAGCAAGACTTTGTATATGGAGTGTAATAAATTTGAAAAGTGTACTCAATGTTTCTTTATATAGTTCAAAACTTTTTAGCTCCAAGTAGTTACCTGTTTTAATCTAGTTATTGGTAGTTACTAAATGAAAAAGACCACCCCACAGTTGCAGGACCACCCAAAATCTGCATGGGAAGGTACTAGTTGTGTAGCAATGTCAGACACTGGTCTTCAATACAATATGATGATGCAGCATAATCTTACAAAAATTCACAAGCCTATCTTTGTTGAACTAGATTTTTTTGTACCTCTACCTAAGGACAGTTTTGCTGCTTAAAGCATCAACTTGTAAAACAGATTTGTTACAAAAAGCAATTTCATCAAAGTAAATCTAAGATTTAAATTCAGAAGGTTTTTTATGTTGAAAGGTTTCATATGACCTGTAGTAATAGTTCTTGTTCAGAGATTTGGTTATAAAAATGTAAACTAACATCAGAAAGAAGGTGAAACCAGCCAAAAAACCCTTGACTTCTGCTAAATACAATGACTGAAGATGCTGGAAAGCCTATGGTAATGAAGTGTCAGCAAAGGCAATGAAGAAATGCACATCTTGAGCTGCTGTGATAACCAAGGTCCTTCCTATGGATGATGACATGCAGCTGAGCTATGGATCCTCCTGCAGGCTGCTCATTTAACCTATAGCTCTGGCTGATGAGGAGCTGCTGTCCTGACAAATTAATTCCCTCTGCTGATAAAACTAGGCTACTTGGTGCAGGATTCCCTGGCAGGAAAACAAAGTATTGTTAAGTATTTATTGTAATTACACGTTTAAACACAGCAAAGTTGATGAACCAAACTCTGAGATTTTTGTCATCCTGCTACAGTTCATGTCAGAGGGAGTGCATTTCAAACACCCTTGTGTTTGGCCAAAAATAAGGCGAGTTTGCCTTGAGACATCCCCAGGGATGTCATTACAAGTATGTGGTGTGGATAAGGAGAACAGGACGGTGTCTTCAGCTCAAACCTTGGTAAACTTGACTTGACAATTTGACAGAAGGGGCCTTTTTCCACAGAGCCCTGCCTCTGGCCTTGGTGTCAGTGCAGACTTTCGTTATTCATGAAGAGTCAGTGCTAAGAGAAAACAAATGGCTAACAGAACAGGAAATATTTAGATGAAGCACTTCCAGGTAGCAGAGCATGAATGAACGCATCTAATTGTTGTTTTTCTTCTCCCGTATGGCTGCTAGTTTCCTTTAATATGTTTGTTACAAAAAAAAAAGATATCCAGAAGAGCTGCCTTTAAAGTAAGTAGTTAAATGCTTCTGGCATTCAGTGCACTGCATGCTTCTGTTATACAGCAGCTATTCACCCCGTTTAATATGCAATAGCATTTTAAAAGCCAGCCATGTTCTCCTTTGTGTTGTCAACAGTCTGTATCAATCTACCACAAGACTGCAAAACAACTCTGGCTGTTTTCCTGACTAGAGCACGGCAGTGATGGGACAGACCCATTCTACACAAAGGCTGTGGGGTTTTTTTAAATGACTAAAAAGCAACTCCATTTACAGAAATCCTGCATAAATAATGTCATGCAAGGTTTGTGGAGGAGACAGCACCTTTTAACAGACCAGTGCATCCAAGTAAAAAAAAGACATTCTTTTAAAGTTCCTACTAAGGAATAATATTAAACAAGTTTGCATCTGAAATAGGTTTTGGTCTCATAGTGAAGGGCAGTTAATAAATGTAGTTATGATGACTACTTTTGTCCAAAAAGATCTGGAATCTAACCAACTATATAGGTCTTGAACAAAAATGAGACACAGAATAATAAAATCTCAGTTGTTCTTTCCAGCTCTTTCACTGGTTAATGGTGTCTGACACATCTTGGTCTCATTCAGACTAAAAAGTTCAGCTGTATTAGAGGGGTCATGTAAGAGTCAGAACTTGTACATGTATAAATTGTGTATGTATGTATGCTATCCATATATATATGTGTGTGTATATATATATACACACATACCAGTGCAAAGCTAACTACAAAATCTGGAGCAGGTTGTCTGTGGTTCCAAACCATGTTCACAGTTATGATGGAAAATGTCAGGTAGCTGGAGAAATTATTATGCTGCTTTTAGAGCAGTTAGATCTGTGGTCTTGGGACTGATTTTTCTGTTTCACAGAAAGGACAGCTGGGAGGCTCCCTTGCCCAGCTGAACTCCCACCAGCATAAGGAAAGCATTTACAGACTTCCAGTGCACCTGTCTTGTCCTTCAAGCTCGAATGTAGAATTAAGCAAATGTGTAGGGTTGTTATTCACTGCATGCTGCAGTGGTCTAGCTGTCAATTGTCCTGTATATAGTCTGTTTCTGTTGATTTTTTTGTTTGCAGTTTCTCTGTTAACAACTGCCCAGATGTTCAATCCATGCGATTTGCTGAGTAATCTCACTTCTTTCGGGTCCTGGTTCTTCTGGCTTTGGGTGAACTTGTGAACATCATAGCCACACATAGTCAAAATGTGGAAAACAGGCCTAAACTTACCTGTGTTAAGTAATTAATCCATTCTGTATGGGTAGCTTGGTTTCTTTGGTCAATAGACAAGGATTTGAAGCAGGGACCTAAATAATTTAAGGTGTAAGCAGTTATAGCCTCTGCTAAAAAGGATTAAATACTTTGTAAGTCAGCACTACAGGCCAGAGACCTTGGGGACCAGCAGACAAGGGTAACGTGCACTTCTAATTTCCGTGAAAGTTATGTTTTCAAGTTCAGTACTGACTGCTGTTGATGTTGCTTCCAATGGAAAAGAAATTAGCATTTAGCTAAAGCCTCTGTAAAAAGCTATTCAAAATGTAACTGCTTGTCTGCTTAGAAAAAGCAGCTTACTTGAGTTTGCAGAAGCAGAAAAGAACTGTGAAATCCAAGGCTATTAATATTTCAAAGTGTTTTGGTGACATAATAGATCATGAAAGTGAGGCTTGTATGGTTTGTGATATTACCAGAAATCCAAGAAGTATTTATAGCTGCCTTTGCACTTGACTATTTTTTTATTGTATCGAATACATTAATCCAAATAGAAATGAAAATGATAGAAAGCTACAAAAAACATGAAACAAGAAATATTCTCTGTTTTCTCTATCTCCTTTCAGCCTCAATGTCTCATGCTTTCCCCTTCCTCATACAACTGTCTTTCTGCACTCCTCTACCCTGGCTCCCTTTTCTTATCCCTAGATTTATCAGTATTTTTAGGTCCCTTGAGTTCTCATTCAATATTTCCTCTTTTGAGGAGTGAAAATACCTCTAATGCTACAACGAATTTGTTTGCTCTGAAAACTGGTCAATAATTCAGTTCTTCTATGGTATTGATTTGGACTTCCAAAGGCATTCCTTCAGTGTCACACTGTTTAAAATCAGGACTGAGCCCTAAGTAAGAAGGAAGATGTGGGTAAAATCCAAATTGGCCTAAGAAGCAATCATGGACTCGATTGAAGACTTCATCTTGCTGTTGGGCTTGTGCCCCTAAATGAGTTGGACAGGTTTTAAAATCTGTTTTATGAATCTCTGTACATCATGCTTACAAACAGAAGTTATTTCTTTTAAAAAATATTATTATTCCTCGAAAGATTTTCAGATTATCTTTTCTCTGGTATAACGAATGCTCTCTCTTTTTCTCTAATGAAATATAATTATTTAGTCCTGTCCCTAGTATTAGCTGGAAGAGGTATGATGGAAACTCATTGGCAAAGAAAATTGAACACAATAAAACCAAGGGAGTTCTTGAAATCCCAGATGTCCAGCAAGAAGACGAAGGCTCTTATGAATGCATTGCAGGAAACATTCGAGGAAGAAACATTGCACGAGGTCAATTATTTGTCTATGGTAAGCAGATTGATTAATTTCTTCATTTAATTTTTTTTACAGAGCGTGATGGTGTTCAGATGGTTTTTCTAGATGAAGTCTATTAGCTCCTTACTGGAGATATGCAATGTAGTTCAGGTTAAGCTGATTAAAAAATGATTGGAGGTCTGCAGTGACCTTCACTGAATTACATCCTCAGCAAATAAAGATATTTTGCATTAAAACTCAGATTGAAAATGTGGGCTGTGCCATGATGAAGTTGTAAAGGTTAATATGAGGCAGAAAGAAATCCCTGGTACATTTACATGAAACATTAAGGGCAGGCAAAAAGATTTACTCCCAATAGCTCACAGCAGCATAAAGCTGTGCTGCCCCAGATGCAGATCAGGGAAGTATTCATGAGGCTTTGGTTCTTGCGAGTAAAAGATTATTTCACCTCCTATTCTAGCTGAACTGTATTGCTCCATAAACAGATGAGGGCAAAGCAGGAGAAACTCATTCCACTGCCTACCTCTCCTTCCTCCTTGTCGGAAAGTGGGGAATAATATTGCTGTGAAACTGTTCACCTTTTCCTCTTTCCTGCCTGCCTGTATTAATTTCCTGATCCAAGTCTCACATGATGGCCCTTGATAGCCAAGGTGAACTATATGCTCTTTGGTCCCATTGTTAATACACAGGGGAAAAAAAGTAGTGTATTTTGACATGAATAAGAATTTCTGGAGATCTTTTCTTTACCTCTTAAATCTTTCAAAAGAAAAGGAAAAAAAGTGCAACGTAACAGTGAGAAAAAAAGTTATAGAAAACTAGACAGAGCCTGCAATTAACAACTGTTGAGAAGACCTTGGCAAGTATCTATTTTTTTAAGTAAATCTCTTCTAATGAAGAGATGCAGATTTCGCTGATAAGCTACCAGTCTCCTGCAGCCATGGCTGATAACAAGATCTATGCCAAGAACAGAGCAGTCTGATGCTGTTTTGAATATTTAATTATTTCTTTGCTTTTAGGGGGTTATTTTTGTTCTCATTGCTCACTAATTTTTGCAGAACATCAATCAAGCAGTTCCATTAAAATTAAGTTCAGTAGATTACCTGGATATGATTGATAACAGCATAGGCAATTATGAAATTATGATCAGTTAATACAATCTAAAACAATGTGCTTATTAAATATTCTCTGTAAATTAATTAATAGCTGCTCATAGTGAAACATATAAACAGCACTCATGAAGATTTTGCACAAGTTTTTTTTATCGTATTAGGAGTGGACTGGTAAATTATCTACATAATTGACTTCCTCTTGCTTAATTTCTGTGCTGCTATGTTTTCACTCTGTAGGTAGCTTGTCTCTAGGAAATAGAATTTCTTTCCTGGATGCTGTCTGCTGTGTTATCTCATGCCTAGATCCCATGCCTTAGGCTCTGATTGCAATAAAAATGACATGTAATTAGAATCCCTTTTAGGCATGGTGAGCTGTATTCCAAATAATTTCCCATTCTGTGAAGCGCCTCATTGGCATTCTATTAATCTAGCGTTGGGCAATCTCGTGGTGCTTTGGGGTAAAGTCCTGAGCTACCCTGGGCTCATGCTGTAGAGAGAGGCTTGTTCTGCTACTCTCAAAGGATAATGGTTCTCTAAAGTTATATTACTCTATATAAGAACTAAATGTATGTGTGTGAATATATATTTGTATACATATGGAGACTACAGCATTATGATTTAATGACCCAGCCAAAATTTCTTCATGGGATGTAAAGACACCAGCCACTTATGCTAGAGGCAGAGGGACGCAACCTAGGATGTCACTTGCGTGTGGCTTTCGACTGTCCCAGAGTCAGATGGGTGTCAGTCACCCTCCTTAGGTCTCATATTCACCTATATCTTGACAACTATTCTAAATGTCAGCCTGCCTCACTCTAATTCCTGTACAGCTCAGTCATTGGGTACTTGGTTGTCTTAGTTTACAGAGCTCATATGTGATTCTTGCAAATTCTGCTTTTACATATTAACAAATTTGTGCCGATGTGCCACAAGTACTCAAAGTGTTATTCTAATCTGAGTAGCTCTTATTCCTTTCTGTAGTATTTGTGCTGTAAATTACAGACAAATAACTTTTATAGTCCTAACCCGTGGTCTCAAGTTTGTGGGTAAAACAGAGGCATAACATTTACAACCCATGTTTTCTATTAGCTACTGACTAATGATCTTGATATTTCTAGTTCTGGTAAACAAAGAGGACTGTTTTTCAGAATGTAGGGGTCTCAGTGCTTTCAGAGAGCATGTCCAGAATTCCAGGTATCTAAAATAACTGCTTTTGCAAATTTTGACCATAAAAAATTAATAATATCTAAACTGAATTTCCTGCTCACTAGCCACTTGATCTCTAACGTTTTCTCAAGTTAGTCTTGAAGTTTAATGACAGAGAATTGTTGTGCAGAATTCACTTGCAAGATCATAAGAATGTGTTAGACAAATACTAATTAGCCTTGCCCAGTTCATTAATTAATGGCAGCACACCTCCAGCAAAATAATTTTTCTTGTGCTTAAAATGGTTTGTGTATTCTTTTCAGCACTCCCTGAATGGGAGAAAAAAATCCAAAATGCCTTTCTGTCTCTCTATGGCAGTTTATTTTGGGAATGTAAGGCAAAAGGAAAACCAAGCCCTTCTTACAGCTGGTTAAAAAATGGCCAGCTGCTCACATCAGAGGTAAGGTTCCTGCAGTCTTGTTTGGTGTCTCACTCATCTTTCTTGTTTTTATCATGATTTAGTAATTACATTTCTTCTACAGTGCATTACCTTTTTCCCAGAAATTTTATTAAAGCTTAACATACCAAAATAAGCACAACATAACAGCATGAACTCTTTGTAGCACAAAGGCTCAGTACTTTGAGTTCATCTTTATTGAAAAGGTATGGTATTGCCAGTTTATATAGATGTATGTGTGTGTGTACACAGATTTCTTCATATAATTTATCTTACAGAATTTCTAATTGCTACAAGATATGGCAGTAGGTATGCATAGGTTTAAAAATATCAATTACACTTAGTGAAAGCAGGGTCTATCCAGAAACACTAAACACATTTGTAGACATAACCTGTAATTTCGGAAGCTGATAGGATGCCAACTGACTGTTTGTGGAAGAGCATTTCAGAGATGGCATTGCAAGCTGATCAGCCTGGGAACTTGTGTTATTGTTTCTGTTCCTAATCTGTAGGTTGGATGGACCTTTGGTCTTATGCAGTACGACCATTCTTATGCTATGTTAATCCTTTAACTGAATTTATCAGTCAGCTATGAAAATCAGTTAAAATTGAGGTTAATGTTTTTCTGGTGCTATGTAGAAGAAGAATAAAAGAAAACCATATGAAGTTATAAGGAAAAGGAAAGGCAAATCTTCCAGACTTCAGATGGCGACCTCATGGAGAACAGCTTCTGTGACAACAGACTCTTTGCTGTGTTTGTATTCTGCTGAGGCCAAGTTTTCCCTTTTTATTAAGCATCTATTCAGCATCTATCGGACATAAAATGGCATGACTCATCTTTAATGCATTTTTACTTGGAAAAAAAATAATAATACTGTGATTAATTTCTCTCTAGCAAGAATAGATACAGAACAATTTCCAGAACATATGGGGCAACTTAGCATCTGCTGGGTTGAAGAACCAATACTTGTTTGACTTAGTAGTACTTATTTGAAGCAATTGGAGGGGATCCAATCTTCCATATGTTTTCTCCTGGATTAGTCCTAAACAGAGCCCAGCTAGGTCTGAGAGGGCTAGCCAGAATTCACTTGGATTGCAATTTTTCTGAACCTGATCATTCTACTCATTGTCACCTCTTCCAAAGAAAGATTATCTGGTTTCTCTCTCTTTGAAGACTGCAATATTTAGAATCTGTCATTCTTCAGTTGCATCGTTTCAATAAAAAAGAATAAAACACTCTACAGACACATTTTCAACCGACATTTTCACAGTACTTACAGTGTATTGTAAATGGAATACTTCAGGCAAACAAAATGCTGAATGTTATTGCTCAATGGATGAAATGGATAGTTTGGAGGTGAAAGTACAAGGAAAGTGTAATAAAATATTCAGTCTGTCACAGCACCCTGCTTGTTGGAAATAGCACAGGAAGAATGCCTTCCAGAGACTTTCTGCCTTAGGGCTGATTCTGAGGATACTGTTTACCCTCTGTCAAACCTATCTCCCTGACCACCTCGTTGGTCATCCCAGCATTATTCCTGCTTGTGTACATGGTGTGCTCTTTTCTTTTCTTTGTCTGCACAGCTCAAAAGAGCCATCGGAGAATGGTGCGGAATTCAGCATGTCTATGAAACAGGAGTATTGCTTCAGAAAGAAGTTTTATATTTAAAATCTGTTTGTAAAAATAGAATGCATTCAAAGGATAGCAAACAGCCTGAAGGAGAAACTAAGTACTCAAAAACTATCTGTAGCAAGAGCCCCGAAAATATAACAGTAGATAAGTAAAGTAATGCTGTTAATTAGTTTGGAATACACCAGTCACAAAACTGCAGGCTGTGCTCTTATCAAATTTCCAAGCTAAACAAGGTTGGGCTGGATCAGTTCTTGGTGGGGAAACCTCCGAGGAAAAGTCAGGGTATAAGAAAATAGAGGTTCCATGTCCCCATAGTTCGCACTCTCTGCCTTACAAGCACCACAAGAGAAATCTCCCCAACAGGCTGTGCAACTGGCTCGTCTGAGGCAACTTGACAAGTTAGATTATATATGTTCAGCAGTTCACAAATACATTTTAGATGCTTGTAGCTGTTCAGCAAAGGCTCTGCTGTATACTCTAACAGTGTATGCTCTCATTACTCCTTCAGAGGCAGCGGAGACAGTCTAAAGGAGCAGCATATATTATAGTAATATCTGTTGTTTCAGGCTTGCATTTGATGATGGAATTTATATTTCCTGTTGTGGCTTGCTTCCACACTGATCTGTTTTGAGGAACTTATTCGTTGCTCCTTCTCCGTGTTACACTTTGCAGTAAAGCTATTATTGTTCCTGCAGGCTAGTAATTGTAAAATCACCAAATACTTAGCTTGAAATTATTCTTGTTGCATGAAACAGGCTTTTTCCTGTTATCAAAATAAAGCTAATAAAACTCCTTTTAATACACCAAAAACCAAGCTCTGGTCCAAATTTACCTACTGTGCAGTTTTCTCTACTTCATCAGAACTGCACTGAAGAAACTCTGCGTGTGTAGAAATTCAAGCCATGAGGAACATGGCTCTCTCTCTGATCTGAGCAGCTGCCTGTGGGTTCCCAATAGGAATTCAAAAGTGTTGGCTTTCAGTAGAGCTTTTTCAGTAAATCATTTTTCTGTGACTTGTGATCTGATGACATTTGAAATGTTTCCATTATTTGAGCAGCTCTGTCTCCTGTGGAGCTTTACTGATCATCTTAGATTATAATCATCAGATTCATCTAACGGGATGAGAGGGGTAGACTATGCTTCAACATACCCCCAGACAGGGCTGCAGGTGCTGCTTCTCAGGAGCTGGATGGAAGATGCTCCAGGCTCCCAGCGTGGAACAGCCGTACCTGCCCTGCGGTAGCTCCTTCTGCTTCACGGTGAAGCACACCCACAGATTCATAGTTCATCAGTGCAGAGAAACACATGTCACAGCTGAAACATCTGGGCAAACCTCCCCAAGGCAATGACTCTGCAATGTGTGCCTAGAGTTCTTGAAAAGTTTGAAGAGCTAAGAGGTCTGAAAACATAACCACCATCATATAGCTGAGGTATACATCATATTTCTGATATGTTCTTCCACATTGCTTCCAAGAAAATAACATTGCTTCTAAATTATGATCAGGTGTCTGTGTGCTACCCAAAAAACTTTGGGATTGTACACTTATTGGCTCTGTTCATGTTTTTTGCTTGTTTTTCTTTTATCAGGAAAGAATTCAAATAGAAAATGGAACTCTAGTCATACCGATGTTGAATATGTCAGACTCCGGCCTCTACCAATGCGTGGCAGAAAACAAGTACGACACTATTTATGCCAATGCTGAGTTGCGGGTGATAGGTGAGTAAATGTCACTAAAATGAGCAGGTACTGAGTATAACAGGACACTCATTGAAAAAAATTAATTGAAATTAAGAAATTAATGCATTAAATTCCACCTAGCTGTTCAGGTCTGTTGATATGTCTTTGCTGCTTGCTCTTCACCTACGTGCGCATGTTTGTTTGTTTATTTTATTTCATGACTGGTTTTGTGGAAGAATCTAATCCCATGTGTCTTTTTTTTATTACATACACACAAGTTTAATGAATGCTCTTTCTCACTTAGTATTTTGAGTTATGGATAATTATTTTGCACTTTCAGAAAGCAGGAAAAATAGTTTTAACTGTAAACTAAGAGCATATGGCAAATATGTATATAAAACCAAATAATGTAGGAAGTAATCTCATCAATGATTATCAGAGATGCACGTAAAAGGGAATTTGTTAATATATTATAAAACATATTCTGTTATAGATATCCAAATATAAAGTTTGTTCAACAGCCAGATACCAGTGAAACCAGAAAAACACAGACTTTAAGAGCACCTCTTGGACAGATCTTGTGTTTTTTCCTTCTGCAAGAGTGAATTTTCACATAAATTACTGGACAAATAAACACCTTTTCTGAAAACAGCGTTGGTTTATGAACAGAAAGCCACTGAAAAACTGTGTTGTAATTGAATATTCTGCGCAGACAAATACACGTGGCTGGGATCAGGAGTGCAATGTTTATCCTGCTGACATAGCTCTGCTCAGGATCCCCATTCTTCATCACAGATAGACCTATTCTCCCAGTCTGCAGATAACCCTAAGGAAAGATTGGCAGAGCAGAGAGTTCCTAGGTAGACGGTTTAGAAACAGCATAAATAAGATACAATGAATTATATTCTTTGCTACTTAAATACATTTTTCATGTTTGATATATCTACTTTTGCAGAAATATCAAAAGCAAAGCAATTACTGGATTCACCTACTATGTAGCTCCAAGAGAAGAATTTAGCAAGTTCATTTAGTAACTTGTCAGCTGCATGCTCTTCTGCTCTTCTTTCTTCTTACTTCTCTGTCTTTAGCTGCAGCACCTGATTTCTCCAAAAATCCTTTGAAAAAAATATCTGTTGTTCAAGTTGGAGGTGAAGTTACAATTGGTTGTAAACCGAGTGCTTCTCCCCGAGCAGTTATTAACTGGAGAAAGGGCTCAGAGGTTCTGCGCCAGAACAAAAGGTACCGTCATAAACCAGTTGCTGGATTGTTGGGTGTTCTCTGTTATAATAATACCATGTAAACATCACTGAAACACAGCTGGCTTAGTATTGCTTTTGACAGCTCATTGACAGAGAACTTTGATGCCAGAGGCCTATTTGTCTTTAGCAGTGGCCATAAATTTCTGCAGATATAAAGCTGGTTGAGAGAACAAAGCCAAGCCAAATACACACGGGTAACTGTGTGGTACATACGTTTGCATTCATCAGCAGTTAATTCACTGCAACGCTATCAGAGCTGACTGTTTACCACACGTGAAGCCCAAGTGAATCATCTTCACATGGGAGACATCAGTGGAGGCTTCAGGGAAGCAGAATATACCCCCAGGCAGTGGCATAATTGCTTTGCAGCTGTACAGGTTGTACAATAACCCATAGCTAAATCAGCCTCCATATTCCCTGTCTCTTCTGTTTAGGAACGATTTGGCCACTGGACCACCATACTGGTACACTACCTCACCAACCGGTATGGCGTTGCACTGTCTTCAGTAGGGCTTTACTGATGTTTTTGCTGGGATGGCTAATAGCTTATTTGTGAGCTGCCACAAACCGTCTACGCTATTACATGCTAAGGTCAATTAAGTGGTAAAGTATTAAAATCAAAAGCGACTTACTGACTTAACTTGTGAGTAGTACACACAATATAGAACCGTGATGATATTTCCATGTACAAATGTAGACAGAGTGATGAAATGGGCATCCGTGTCTAAGTGCTGTAATCTTTCTCAACATCTCTTTTGGTTTACAAATATGACAGCAACACTGTTTTATCACATTATCATTTTCAAAGACTGAAAACAGATTCAGTGATTCAGAAAGCTCTAGAAATTGAACACCAGATTTTGCACACTGGGCCGGTTGCTCAAGGAGGTTAATTTGGGTCACGTAAGACTTCAAATAATTGTAATTCATTAAAACAACATTACTCAAAACTGACACAGTGAAATATCTCCCTATCCCATACTGCAGTAATGTACAATGCAGATAAAAGTAAATTAGGTAAGTATATGGGAAAGACAGTGCAAATCTGAGAAGAGCTATTTCACATAGGTACTTGCAATGAAACACAAAAATTTGGGTAAACAATTTGTGCTGCAGGACGTAGAGAAATTTCCAGTGATGACCCCACAGCCCCTTCCAGCAGTGGCAGCTTTATTTTCTGTTTCACTGCTCAGCTAATGATGAAAAATACTTTTCTAACTAGTACTCACTCAAATCTTTCTTATTTGCATTTTGATTTTATAGTCTGTTCAAGAAAAGTGCCTGTTCACTCCTATTAGCAGCAGCCTATCCCTACAACACGTAGAAAGCACGCTTAGTATGCAGTTTGCCACAGGTAATCTCTGCATTTTCTGACATTGATGAGAACAGGAGAGAGGAGAGCACTGTTTTAAACTTACAATTTAAATAGTTGAATTAAGCCTAGATCTTGAGGTTCTAGTACCATGATATATTCTCCATCTGATTTGCTTATAAAAAGTATTTACATACTGCACACGGCATTTACTTGTGTTTCTGTATTAATTTACTAACAACAATTATAAGCACGCTGTAATTTTTGAGCATCCCAGAAGGCCTGCTGCTACTTAGCGGGAGTAAACAAAACGAGCAGGATTTACTTGGAGGCAAAGGGAGAGAGCATTTAAACTCTCCATGTGCAAAACATTACCACCAGGGTGTCCACTGGTGCAGAGTCGAATTTATGAGGCTTTTTGATTATTAAATGACGAAATAGCTAATGCTATGCTTTTAAAGAAGAGAAAACAAATCAACTACGCAGTATTTTTCCAGAGATCTTTGTGACAGAAAGCAGAAAATGAAACAAGGATTTGTATGGCTGTGATTAAAGTACACAGCTAATTAAAGTACTAAAATCACATATATCTTTGCAGAAGGACTCTGGTTTGCCTCTTTCTATGTATATGATTAAATCCTCACGTGTCAAACACAGATTAACTATTTTAACTAAAGCTTTCCTTATTTCTGCTCCCATTTTATTGTGCAGTATTTATTATCTCTACGGATGGACTCCTTTACCTTTACTCCTTTAGCCTTTATTTTCCTTTTTTCTTTTTTTTAATTAATCTGGTTGGGTCAAAAAAAAAAAGGAAATACCAACTCCTTACAGTTCTGACAGCAAAACTGTGATGGACACATTGATAAATAAGTCAAATCACATAGCTGATTCAGAACAAATCACTGCTCTCCTTGATCATCTGAGCTCTAAATGTGGCAGGATAACACTGCTTTATATTAATGCTAGTTTGTAAGTATGTAATCAAAAGTGATCTAACTAGGAAGAGTTAATTAATAGACTATCCATATTACTAATAAAAACAACACGAAATACTTTCTTTTTAATTTTATTTCCTCTGAAGGTTTTTTATCAAGGCTTTTTAAGTTTATGAAGTTGCAATATTTGAAAAATATCTTAACATTTCCTGAGTCTCAAGTGTAATCTTCTCAATCTCTTGCCACTGCCCAGCAGTGAAGGTCTTCCAGCCCCTTTCCAGGGACAGTGAAGGTTTCCTCCATCTCTGTTTGTCTCTCACACCTTTTATGGAGTTCAAACGCATCATTACCCAGATCTTCAACAGCTTGTATGCTCTGATTTATGTACAATATTTTATTGCATTTTAACCATACACTTACGACCTTCTATAAAAATTCCCAAATCAATCATTTGCATTTGATGGTACAGCAAAGTCTGACTATACCTGTACCAGGTCTGCTTACGATTCCCAGTATTAATGTCCCATCTCTATTGAGTATTCTACTTCAAAATTTTCAGAAATAGCTGAATTCCACCCCCATTCAAATGGTTTAGCCCCTGAGTAGTGGGATTTATCTTTGGTTCGTGCTGCTGGCTGCCTTAGAGAGAGGCAATTCATAGTTGTCAGCTTCAGGAATAAGAATTTTAAAAAATCTACAGTTGGCTAATCTGAGTTGTTTTTACCTGCTCTCTCTTCACATGATCTCCCAATCACCTTCTCTGGATCATCTAGCAGTACAGGTTCAGGTTTTCTTTTGGGCAAATAACCTCCTTCTTTGGTTCAAAGTCTTGAGAAATTGAGCTTTTGGGAGCAAAACCACTTGTCCAATGGGCAACTGTTTGAAAAGATTTTGCTTGCCCTTTGCTGAATGTATGACTTTTTCTTGCCAGGTGCTGTGGATTTTAGCTCAATGTAGTAATAAAATGCAACAAAGAAAAAGAACAGGCTTCATGCTTTGAACTCCCACCCTGTGGGGTTCGACACAGATATGAGCTATTTTCATGTATGTCATATATAGTCAGTAAGTGCAATTGGAGTTTTCTTCATCTCACTTCTATCATGTGTCCACTGAGGAAAATAAAGATAAGGGAACAATTAATATATTAAATAAAGCATATTTGCAAGTCTATACACTGATCTTATCACAAATGTATGACTTACCACCTTCAGTGAATTCAGAATCAGGACCTTCATGGAAAACTGATTTTGTAAAATTCTTTTTGATGGAAGCATTTTAATAAATGGGAACTGAGACCCTTTTACTTCACCAGAGAGAGGTGCTATTCCCTCACCATGAGCTGAGGATCCCCAAACACTGTAGTGAATGCATATAAACATATGTGATTCACTCCACTTAAAATGTAAATGAGGATAGCTGAGGGAAAACTGAGAATTGAGGTAGGCTGAAAGAATGCATTAGTCATATACAGCACTTTCCATGCATTAATAATCAGTAATAAGCAAATATTCATAATTTAAATTGTTTTCTGGGGACTGGACAAGAAGTATGTTTAGGGGTCAATAAAATATGCTCAATACTTGTTGGCTCCTAGACTTGCTTGTAGGACACAGTTCATCCCATCTCTGTGAAGGATGGTAATTGAATCTCTGCCATAAACAAAGCTGTTCTACACGGTAAATTCTCTCTCCCATGCCACACTAGTTTTTGGTGTTTTGCACTCAGGTTATTGCAGTTTCTCAAAGGAAACATGGGAGAATGATTGAATACCGAAATGAAAAGCTGTCTTTCTTTTCTTATGCAAAGAAAACTGAGCAAATGTTATGACTGGAGACTTCTGACACTATGGGTGAGGGGAATTATCTGGTAATTGCTGAGGTCTTACAGCTGCCCCTTGAAGCTTCAAACTGAAGGGATTTCTCCTGCCCCCATGTTAAATGCAAGGGCCCAGCAGGTTTCATTAACTGAATGCTTGGATCTGCTCACAGCCACATTCTGCATCTGGATCGCTCTACCAGTCTCCTGGGCAGCCTTCGGAGCACTTGTGGCCACCATCTGCTTCTGCCTTTCTTCTGCCGCTCTGCTGTTCAAAGTCAGACTGCAATACCATGAACGTTTTAACACATTTGAAATATATTTGTTACTTGGAAAAATAATTCTATTTTATGGCTGCTGTTAGAATAGTAGAAATAGGGAGTTAAAAAAATACAGGCAATTAATTGGTAAACAGGAGAAGTCCTCAATCCACTGATCAAATACAACATACAAGACACACTGTGCTGTGAAATAGCATTTCAGCTTGAACCAATTTGAAAACAAATGTGTCAGGGCAGTTCAACAAACTTCAACGAAACATTTCAATTACCAGAATGTCAACACTGTTTGTTTAGCTTGTACTGAAACCTTCCAGTATATCCGTTATCTTTAAAAAAAAAAAAAAAGAAAATCTGCCTGGGGAGGAATCAAGACAAAATGGATTGAAAATTCCAAAATTTGCACTACTCTACTAACAAAGGAGGAGACTGATGTTACTTAACTTTTATTTAGCTGCAGTCAATATGCAGTCTAAGGTCGTTATTTACTTTTTCTTGGCAGGCACCTCCATCTCAAATGAGATATGTAACTTTTAGATGAGCAAAGCTGGAGGAATGAAACCTATCCACAGCGTCTGAAAAAAAACCAACCCCTACCTATATTGAAGTTGGACCAGATGAGTAGTACAGGCATAGA